AAAAGAACTGCCTAAAGACCTGCAGTGTGTTCATTTATACACTGGGGAGGTTTATCTACATTTCAACCCTTCTGCCTAGTAGCCTGTTTGCTTGGTTCATCTGTGTACCCCATTCATGGTGCTGGAACAGCTTGTTTATGTGGCTCACCTCTTGCAGGCCCACTCGTGTAACTGATCTCCAGTTTCACAATTTGTGACCTCTGTAGAAATTTTTCCAAGGAGCAAAGTGATAGAATTTTTTGCGCAGCTAAAAAGATAAAAAATATAAAATAAAAGTGGCCTTTATTTTAAAAACGTGGAGAGACTCCACGACCTAGGGGGTCTGGCATTCTCTCTGCCTGACACGTGGTGTGGGGGCATACATGTGGCTTAGGTTTGGAGTGGAGCCTAAGGGGCATTACTGATGCACAGGTAGCCCATTAAAATTCGTTTGGCAGCACAGGTAGGGCTTAGGGGCAGGGAAGATGACCTCAAGATAGAGCCTCTTGGTTCTGCATCCCAGCCTCCCCCTGCCTCCCAGCCTCCCCCCGCAGCTTCCCATCCAGGGCACAAAATCCTTTCACAAAGCAACCTAGAAAGTTGTTTGGGTGGGGGAAAAAAAGAAATGCCACAGATGTAGTGAACATAAAGCCTGGAAATTATTTAATGAAAGGATTTATCACAAAATAGTAGTTGATTTCAGATACTTGGTAAAATCATTCTAAAAACAGGCTGTTGGACAAAACAAGAATAAGTAAAATGTTCTGAAGCAAGTACTTGTTTGGTAGAATGTTATCTCTTCTGTTAAGTGTGTATATAATCATCTAGTGGGAATCTAAATTAAACCCACATTGTTTTGGACATAGGATTCTTCAAAGCCATGGTCTGTTTGGATGGAGTGAATTCTGTACTTCAGTGTCTGTGCTACAGTCTGTTTTCTCAGAACATCTCTGCTGTGCGCTCTCCCATGATTCGGCCTGTGTATCTTCAAGTTATTGAGTGCTTAAACTAAGGAAAACAGATTTCAGGAGAAAATTTAACTTCACAAGTACCTAGGTTAGTATTCTCTAGAGTATCAGAATCAATTGGATCTATTTAGCATATCTATAGCTCTCAATCTCTGTGTCTTTATTTCTATCTCTATCTCTATGTCTATCTCTCTGTCTCTGTCTCTATTTCTCTATCTCAGTGTAAGGGGATTTGTTAGGCAGGTTTACAGAAACGGAAGTATGAGAGTCTACAACAGCTGTTTGTGCACTTGTGTGGCAGAGCATCCAGTAACTTCTCTGTCCAAAGTCTAGTATCCTTCCAGATATGATGATAGACACCTGTAATCCCAGCACTCTGGGAGGCCAAGGCAGATGATCACTAGTTTAAATCCAGCCTGGGCAACTTAGTAACTCATAGGTCCTTATTTCAAAATAAAAAATAAAAAAGGCTAGGAATGTAGCTTTGCTCAAAGGCTCTGGGTTTAATCTTCAGTACCACAAAATGAAGAAGAAAAAGAAGGAAGAGGAGGAGGACAAGAGAAGAAAGGGAGGAAGCAGGAGAAGGAAGAAAAGGAAAGGAATGAGCAGAAAGAGAAAAAGAAGAAAGAAAAGAAAAAGAATTGGAAGATTTGGAACATAAGAGATAAAGGTTGCAGTGCCAATCAGAGACTGAGCCTGGCAGCCCTGGTAGAGTTACTGGTGTGAGCCCACACTGAAAGGCTGAAGAAACCTTGACTGATATAAGAAGATAACTGGCAATAAAAACACTCAGCTCTTCAAGTAGGATGGAGCTTTTCAAATGCAGGCAGATTTTTTCCTTATTTTTCTTTCATTCCTTCAGAGTGACAAGCACATTGGATGGTGCCACCCACCATGAAGGTGGCTCTCCCCATTGGAGTTTCCTGGGCCACATGCCAGTAGTCTCCAGAAACCCGCTATAGGAACACTCAGAACTGATTTGTTGGTCTGCTAGAGGACTCCAAATCCAGTCAACCCGATCTATCATAATTAGTGATCATGGCAAGATTTACAGCAGAATGTTTAGGAATATGGGCTTTAGACTTAGGCCCAAATTGAAGCTGTGTCACCTATCAGCTGTGTGGTCATTAGGAAGGCCAGGTCTTCTAAACTAGAGCAAAACACTAATGTTGCTCAGGAGATTAGATGTGTGTGTGGTGGGAGACTAAGTCCTCATTAATCATTATATGGTTCTTAGAAATGCGTGAGCCTGTAATCAATGGCAGCAATCAACATTTTGTTGCCTAATTTTATTATTAACCTCTTCTACCTATTTCCTACATAGCTATCTGATTCTCTTTTTCTCAAATCTCTCCTCAAATCTTCACCTGCACCCCAGGTCACCAATACAATGCCAACCTAACACAATGGAAAATAAATGCTGTCTGTTGTTTGTCTCTGCAACAAATCCATAGCTTTTGTCACAAGAGATATCACTGACATTTGTAGATTAAATTTCTTTTCTGTGATGCATTACAGATGCATTGAATTAGTGACTCACCATGACCAATTTTTCAAGGAGATAAAAATATATTTTTAAAATAAGTCATATTATTTTTGGGAAAAAGAATTGATAAAATGAATAAAGTAATTCCTTTACTTTACAGAATGATTTTATCATAACTTTTATGGATGTAGATTATAATAAGTTACCTACATGATAAAGTTTAGCAAAACCTTCCTCTAGTATGAAAAATAGATTAGCTTTTCTTTGTAAAGTAATTTCTGCTTTCAAAATTATGGATGTTTGGAGACCAGAATCTGATGGCCGATCAAACATCCCTCTTATCTATAATGACTCAAAAGTTCCTGGCACTGTTTGGGATTGTAGCAAGAACAGTTTTTCAGAATACAGGAGACAAGTGTGTGTTTCAGACTGACGTATTCTCCTATGGCTTTATCTCTCACAAAACACTAGTGCTGGTGTGGTTTTGAAAAGTCATTTGAATAATTCATCTTAGAATTCTCTGTAATTTCCTTGCATTTGTGTAATACTCCTTTCCTATGCCCCATCTCCAAATCACTGAACTGATTTTTAGGAAAATCTAATTTCTATAGAAACATAAGTATCTATTTTAACTACTTCCTGCCTTAGTAGGAAGAACGATGTTGTTTTTGGTATAGATATAAATCAACATGGCTACATATTTTAAAATGAAGTTAATTATATTCTTATGACAATTTTTTGATTTTTTTTAGTTCTAGCATAGCTTTTGGGGCTCCTGGTATATATTAAAACATTTTATTAGTAATAATAATAAAAGTTATAATTACTTATTAAATGTTCATGCATTGCTGAACATGGCCACATGAAATAAATCATTATTGAATGAGTGACAGATTGGATACATTGGAGTTACTTGTATTCCACCAGGTAATCTGTACAAAACAAAGCAAAATTGTATTAGATAGCCAGTGTCATTAAAACCCATTTTACACATGAGAGAAATGAGGCTGAAAAAGAAAATAGTACTGGTTCCTCCCCAAATACTGCTAATAATGTTATTGGAATTAGTTCCCAGATTACTCTATTTAGATGAAATTTAGTCTTTGAGATTTATGTACCAACTCTCACGATGAATGTAATCATTATGTACTGTAAATGTGTACTAATAAAAAATTTTTAAAATAATTAAAAAGGTTGAAAGAAAGCAAACACAGGAGAATTGGAGACCAGCAGCAATAAGGGTGCAGTAGGTACAGCGCAGAGACAAGATGGTCCTCTCCACACCTCCACAAATGTTCTCTCTTGAGCTTTCCTTGACTAGGATTATGGTGACTGACACATGAACTCAGGTAACATCTAATTCACAGTCATGCTACTGGTATCTGCCAAAGAGATTTGTGGCAGACTTTCACTTCTTCAAACAATTAATGCATACAAATTTTATTACCTTCCAAGCTGACATAACATTAGAAGTATCATAGTGCTGTTATTTTCCTGTTTTGAGTGATGGGCTATTTACGATCTGGGACGAGATTCTCAAACACAAATCTACAAGTAGAATGATGGATATGATACTGGAAATGTAAGATTCAAAACCTCAAGCAGAAATAATGTTGGCTAAGAAAGATTTAAAAAAAAATGGGCTATTGGGGTTGGGGATTTAGCTCACTGGCATAAGCACCTGCCTTGCAAGCAGGCGGTCATGAGTTCGATCCCTGGTACTGATAAAAAGGAAAAAAAAAAGAAAAAAGAAAAAAAAAATGGGCTGTTTCTGTACATGTACGTGTATAACGTGAAATCATAAATCTTGAACATTATAAGCAAGATATGCAGCTTGACTATCAAATGCTAATGATGACTAACTACTCAGAGGAAGGTTAGTCTCAGGACTTTATGACAAGAGAATTTGGAGAGAATGAATTGTATTCCTGCTTGGACATAATGTCAACCATAATGCTTGACTCTGCAATGTTTATGAATAAAAATTTGGTTGACAAATTTCATTTATCCTACTTCAAATGGCCATAAATCAGTTAAACTTTTTTGAAACAACTATTTAAGGATAATATAATTATTTCTTTAGGTAGGAATTGTGGCATATTTTGAAACCACAGTGTATTTCAGTTTGGAAACCTTAGTCTTTAGCTCTTTAGAAAAATTTCCCTAATTTCTCCTCTGCAAGTGTTGACCATGAAATTATCATGAGTACTGGTCTCAGCCTTATTTTAAATGAAACTTCCTTGCTTTGTTCTTTTTTTTTTAATAGAAGTTGTTTGTGCCCCCATTTCATTTTCACCATGTAACTCTATTGGATGCAGGAGACTGTAGCCTTTTGTCTGCAGATGGGTGCCAAGTGCTTAGAATAGTCCCTGAAAAACAATAGGCTCTGAAAAGTATTTTTGAATGGTAAATACATTCCATTTTCTACTTTCATGCCTGTAGTACTGGTGTTACATAATGAACTCTGTTGTTTGTCTCGCATTCTTTCTTCCATTTTTTCTATCAGGCGTTTTCATTATCCCCTCTTTCAGCTCTCTCTCTCTCTCTCTCTCTCTCTTAGTACTGGAGATGAAATTCAAGATTTTCACACTAAGCTGCATCCCAATCTTTTTTTCTTTTTAATTTCATTTTGAATTTCAAGGAAGGGTCTCTTGAAGTCTCTGAGTTACTTGGGATAGCCTTGAATTTCTGATTCTCCTGCCTCAACCTATCAGAGTACTGGGATCACAGGTGTGTCCCACCACACCCAACTCATTTTTTTCTTTCTTGCAAAGTGTTTTGCTTCAATTGCTTTGGTGTTACTTTGAGGTTTATTTTCTCCACCTGCAAACAGCTCCCAAGGCATTGCCAGCCTGCACGGTTACTAATGATTTTACTGCTTCTGATCAGGTATGTATCCTGGCTTATCACATTCTATTTGTTTATGTTTGCTCAAGACCTTGCAAAAAATATGGGCCTCCATTCTTATCTCTGTTTGTAAATGAGATTCCAATAAAAATAGTATTTCTGAAATTTGAAAATTTTTATTTCATTTACAAATATTCCAGAGTTGAAAATAAGACCTAACCTTTAAAATAGATAATTTTATATAGAAAAGATTTACTTTGAAATTTTTACATGGAAAAAGTTTCCTGAAGTTTTGAAACTTAAAAAAATTGTTAGTTTCGAAGAGTATATGAGAATTATGACTAAAAAGAATGAGAAAAATGTCTTGCTGAGTAACACAAATTGAATGACCCTGCATAACCTATTGTTTTTGCAGCTAGAGATAAAATACTGCTTATTTCCTTTAAATATTTATTTTAACTAAATTCTTTCAGAAAACATTTCTTAGTACTTTATGGAGGGATATATTTTTATTCCGTTTGCTCAGAAATAATTGTATGGCTACAGATATTAAGGAAGGATGTACATTCTTGATTGATTGATTGATTGATTGATTGATTTTTTGTATCTGTTAGTCTAGAAAAAAACGTGAAATGAGTGCCTAGACTCTGGTCTTTGATACTAGTGTCCTGACCATGTCCTGATGTCAAGTCGATCAAAGCATTCTTCCATCAATACACTCTTCAGACACACTGGTTTGGTTCAGGGAGGTCAAAACACACCTGCGCACTGAGTGATTCCAGTAAGAGAAGCTTGTGTTTCCATTGCCAAGTACCAGGTCAAACTGTGAAGTGAACTGGGAGTGGGAAACTTTAATTCTAATTAGGACCCCATCTCACAGTTGTGAGATGAAAGCTGTGCAGTTGAGAAACACTTTGCAAGACTTTTTATGTGGCCTTGAGTTGAACCACCATGGGCAGCCATGAGAACAGCCTTTTCTTCAGATGGCTCATGTGGCTCATGTCAGGCTTTCATTATTCCTTAGGGATGCTGCAGACAGACATGCGGGGGACCATTTCTGAGAAAGACAAAAGTTCACCTGTATTTGGTATTTCTTCTCCTTTTTTATTTTATAGAAAAAAAGATAAAGCAAAATTTGATAACAAAATAATAGAATAAAGTGTTAATACATGACACATTGTTATCTTTAAAGTAGTTGCTCAGGGTACAAGATATGGACATAAAAATTTCTCCAGTAAATATTAGCATGAACCTTCCCTTCCAATGAACTCAAAGACATAAATGGGATAGCTAACTTACATTTTTCTCCCTTTCCCCTTCCTTCCTTTCCTCTTTCCCCAATCCTAGTTCCTTTTTCTTTTAAAACAATTTGTCCCCATTTCACAATATATATTGTAGAAGTTAGATATATTGTAGAAGTTGCATTCATTTGCTTATAAAAGTATCAAGTTTATCCTTATTTATAGTTGAGTAGTACTCCATTGTTTAAAAACACCACATTTTAAAAAATCTATTCTTTGATTGATGGACATTTGAGTTGTTTCCAAGATTTAGCTATTGCAAATTGTGCTTCTATAAACATGTGAACAGGTATACTGCTGTGGTATGATGTTTTTAACGCTCCTGCAAAGATACACAGAAGGGGAATAACTGGATGAAATAGGACTTCTAATTCTGGTTTTCTGAGGAAGTGCCACACTTCCTCAGAAAGTCTATGCTCCCACCAACAGTGGAGAAGTATTCTCTCCCCCCACCCACAGAACCCTTCCAGCATTTTAACTGGTTGATTTCCTCATACTAGCCACTCTGTTCGGAGTGAAATGGACTCTCATTGTTGCTTCAATTTGCATCTCTCAAATGACCAATGATATTCAATATTTTTCCATACATATTTCTTCTCTTTAAGCCCTCTTATCCTCAGGGCTGCTGTCTCTCACCAACCTGCTCTTGCCCCATAGAACGCACTTCTTTTACACCATTCTCACATATACGTGCCTGCTGCCTTTTCCTGTGTCTCATGCAATTCTTTGTTTAATACACCAAGAGCCTGGAAGACAGTCCCTAGTAACTACCATCTGGTTACATTTCTTGGCAAGTTAGCTAGGACGTACGATCCATTTTTGAAGAAAGTTCTTATATTATTCCTCTGTTCTTTTTCCCATTATTTTGTGTCTTTGATCACTCATTATAGGACTGAGTCAGAGAGTTAAGAGCAGCAAGCGCATTTGTCTTTTGAAAATTAATGTGTCTCTTGCCTCCATGCTTTTCTTCTTACCAATATTTAATTTGGCATTCTGAATTCTTTTTTTTTTTTTTTTTTTTTTTTTTTGAGAAAAGTTGTGAGTAACCTAGTCTCCTCCTAAGTATCCCCTTATGCCAATCTGCCTCACTGTGTGTTCACCTACATCAAAACTCTTATTGTTGAGCTTTTCCCCTAGTGGTGCAGGCCTGATGTCTCCACTTGTTTACTGGCTGGGCACAGCTGAAGGGCTGCTCTGTGTAGGAACAATGTGGCTGACCCAGGACACTTGAAGGTTGCTATCCGTCCGTCCTCACTGTAGCACGTTCTCTGAAGGGAGATGAAAGGAGCAAAACTTCACGACCACGACACTCTCTTGCTCCCTACTCCCATTTTCTCCTTTGTCCTTCATCCTTCTGAATTCAAAGTAAGTCAAAGTCCCCTTCCTCTAGATTCAACTTTACATAAGTTTCTTCCTGATTCTAGACTTTGGACTGTTTTTTCTTTTCTTACTGTATTTTCCGTAGAAAACTTTTAATTGCAAATTCTTTTTCTTTCCCTTTGAGATAGGAGTTTTATTTAGAGATTTCCTTCCATTTTTAAACTACAAGGATGTCTTTCCCCACTGTCTGGGAGACATATCTTTTAAATATGATTATCAAGGGAGGCAAATAATACCTTGAGGCCTCTATTCCTAAAGTGATTTCTGCTCCTCCTTAGACATAGACATTCCAAGTACTTGATTGTTGACTATGATCATATTAATTACTTCATGGGCTTCCCAAATTCAGCAAAAGTTTGAGAATACTTATTAATAGGTTAATAAGATGATCAGCTTCTGATAGTCATTAATATTTTGACCAACTAATTTCCTGGGCCAGTGATGCATTTAATTATCTTTGATCAATTATATTGACTAACGTAAGACAAAAATGATTTTTCACAATAATTAATATCTGACAATGGCATATTCCCTCCCAAAATTAATGATTTGTAGCTCATCAAAAATATGCTATTGAATTATAGATTAATTGTTATCTAACCGTGACTAGCACAGAATCAAATAAGAGGTATTAATTAGGCAGTCACGGCATAATTTACAGAACTAAGTCACTGACACTGATTGTTGCTTTAATTATGATACAGAACTCAGAATCCTGTGGCCAGCCTCGTGAATTCTGTCTTTTAAGAATAGCTGTTGTTGGCTTATCCATCAGGATTTTTTTCCAAGTAATTTTCTTGGAACCTATCATGATTTGCTTTGATTTTAGTTAGTACCTGCTGAATCTTCTCATTAATCAGTTTTCAAGCAATTAATTCTTTCATAAGTAGAAAAAGTATTGACCAGATTAGTTAAAGGCCATTTCCAGAATTAGAGTGTGGTAATTAATTTCCTGGTTTCTATGTTAGTAAGTTGTCAGATACTGGTTGTCAGGCACTGATTACAGTCTACTTCAAACATGCAAATTAACACAGGCCTGTTGGCCTTCCTGATAGGGAAAGCAATGTGGGGTTTAAAGTGGAGAAGACTGGAGACAAAAAATTAAAGCCAACTACACTCCCAGGGCAGCAATATCATTCACTTCCAAAGATATACTATTATTTCCAGGGATTGTCACCAAAACTTCATTTTATCTCTTCTTGGCTGCACAAATTCAACCAACCATAGTTATATTTCTATATTAATTGTACCAGGTATAATGTTAAACATTAGAGAATCTAACAAAGCTACATTATATGAGTTATAAGATGTGAACTCACTTTAAAATTGTATCCCCTAGCATAGTCACTTTTGTATCAGTCCTTAATTTTTTTATGTATCCCCCCTTTTTTCGCTAAATCAAAGTATGTATTTTTTCTTTAGTATGTTAACCATGTTTTATAATTTGTGGTTCTAGTTAATACATTTCCATGTATGAAATTATTTCAAGGATACAGTAAAATATAGAGAATAGTACAGCAAACACTAACGTGTATTCTATCCAGTCTTGATAGGTCAATATTTTTATGATTTTTCTTGTAACTCTTTATTTAAAAAAAATTTGGATGCTGCTAAATATTACTCTCCAGGTTTTCTGTACCTCTTTTCCTTTCTTTATAAATTTTCATACTCTGAATTTGATGCATATTTTCTATGAATATTTAATCACTTTTCCATGTGTCTAATTATATGCTAATCACATATAAGTGCAAAGATAATTTATATTTACATGTGTTTAATTTTTCACGTTTGATATTAATAGATATTTCTAAATTGTACACATAGCTTGTACATACTTTTAAAACTCTGCTAGGTAGCTTATTATTAATAAATGTATATGTTTATGCATATATGTGTATATCCACAAAGCTAAAATATATTATTATGTAAGGTATCCCAATCTATTTTAGTGTCCTACCATTCCAATGGCTATTGTGATTTTTAATTTGCATTTTCATAATATATTTGAATATCTTCAAATATTTTTGTACTTCTGTGAGTTGACTATTCACATTTCTTAGCCCATTATGTTCTATAGAATTTTGTTTTATTTTTGCTTTTTGTTTACTTATAAGTGCTTTATATGTTCTAAATATTTAGTTTTTGATGATTGTTTATAATAAAAATTGACTTTCCAGTTTGGGCCTCATAGTTTATTTTTTATTGCTTATTTATTTAAAAATATTTTAATTTTAATGTAGTTATATTTGTCAATCATTTGTCTGATTGCTTAACCGTTTAATCTCTACTATAGCATGCATACTTCATAACTGTTTAAAGTTTTGCTTTTCCTGTGTAGGTCTTTCTTTTCTATGGAATTAG